CCCCGGAGCCGCCCCGCGCCCGCGCGCCTTGGCGAGCGCCGGTGGGAGCGCTCGGACGGTGCCGTTCGGCGCCGCTGTCCGCGGGATGCGCCGCTCGTCGCGTGCGAGGCAACGCGACGCACGGAGGGAAGGCACGAATACCAAAAATACCACGTATTGTGTCTGCATGGTCCCGTTCTGTGGTGATTCTAATTAAATAAAGTCTCATTTTGAAACGACCCGTCACTGTTTTTTTCCAGCACTCTTACTTTAAAATATTCCCCCCTGCTGAGTGTAAACAAACCTTTGTAAACAAATCCGCTCATTTCCTTTTAATACTGTACAGATTCTGGCCATCTGAGGATGCTTTATTTATTTTTTTTTTTTTTTGTCATAGGTCTGTAATCTGCAATCTAATTATGCGCAGTTTACTACTATTTTTATTCATTATTGCGTGTGAAGAATGCATTAGGAAACAGCCAGGGATGTTCTGGAGTGCGTAACTCCGGTGTAGGTGTAGCTGCTGCCCCCACTTTCACCCTTGGTGTCAACACAGAACACTGATGGAGAGCAAGTGTTATTTTAGTAAAAACAATCCTTATTGTAGTTTGTGGGAGTTGATACTGTTTGGGCTTAAATTTGAAACTTTATGAACTCTACCAAAAGTGGATCTGAGCCAACTGAAGCAAAACCAGAATTTGGCAAGAGGCATTGTGTGTTCTGGTTCATGATTAATCTGTATACATCAGTAGTAGGTCATCTGAGAGGTTTTGGAGAATGGCGCAAGAAATTCCAGAATTGGATGATTCCTCCTAACGTCGGTCGTTGCTTTGACCTCTGGCAGAGTGAAAGGCATGTGCATCTGCTACGCACATATGTGCGGATGGAGATGCTTTATAAGCGTATACGGTGAAGCGCAGGTTGGTCGAAGTAAAGGGCGGCTGCCAGCAGCCTGGTTCTGCAGGACCGTAATTTGCCCTCCCTTGGGACCTTGCGCCAGTCCTGTAAGGACGGTTGGGCCTCGCGAGGGTGTTAACGGGCGCTTGGAGAGCTGGCCTGCGAGCACACGTAACGCTGCGCTGCCCTCCCGCTTTGTGGGGTTCCCTGCCTCTTCCATGGACTTCATTATGTCTTAAAACAATCTTCTTGATACCATCGGATAATGAGACTATGCAGAACAATAGACATGAAAGACGTTAGTTTTTAATGAGATGCTCAGAGAAATCTAGGGACAAAAATGTCTAGGAGTATTTCTGAAACTGAAGGGGTAGAACTCAGAATGTTGAGTGAAGAAAAGAACTAAAATAGTTATGTGCTGTTGGAGATTTACCTCTGAAATGATACTACAGCTGTGTTGCTCAGGGGTTTGGAGAACCCTGGCGATTACATTTTTGAATTACTATAGGTACCAAATGTGCAAACAAGACAACAGAGCTTCAGCTTTAGCAGAGGACAGTTCCTGCGAGCAATCAAAGGGACGTTGTCGCTCTGTGCTCCCCAGGGCTGGGTAGCTGGGTAGTGGGGCAGTTGGGTGCAGCACAAACTCTCTCAAGGGGTTTTTCCACTGGGGAAGGTCATTTGTGTGCCGGATGGTTGCAGGATAGCAACTGCAGGAGATCATCTTGACTGCTTTAGCCTCCTGTGGCAAAGCAGGGGAAACCTGGGAGCTACCATGTGGCTGCTTTTCTGAGGGTTGCCCATCCTCGTGCATCGCTGAAGGGCCGTCTGTTGCACGGAACCTGGCTATACATTTGCACGGGCATTTTTCCCATTTCTGCTGTGGCAGAATTCACCACCAGGTGGAGATTTTATGCATCAATAACGAGGGGTGAGGTCAGTTTATCATCACCCTGACACCTATCACCAAAGGCAACTTTTTAGGGAAGTCCTGGAAGAAGAGAGAGCGATCCATAACAGTTGGATTGCTCCAGCAATGCCCCAGAAAGACGTGGCATTTCCCATGGCATTGGGAAAAATCCTGCTAACCTGTCCTGTTGGTGCCGTGTGTTTGTACTAACTCCGCCAAAGTCTAAGGAAATTCTTGTTGCCTTAATGATAAGGAATTTCCGAGATGGCATTTGCGTGGGAGTTGGATATTTTGAGAAGCGTGAACTTTAGCCAAGAGCAGACTTCCCTCCAAGCGGGCCACGCTGTTTACACCATCATTGTTTTAAAGCAGGCAAAAGCTTTCGGCAAACTTATCCTGCTCTCCCAGGGATTTTCATTCATTTTATCTATAGCTATGCATCAATGGGGGGAAAAAATCTCTGCTTCTCTTTGGGAATATTTACACCCTTAAAGTGAAATTTTCTGCAATTCTGGGAGATTTCCCAATAAGTGCACGTGAAAATGAGGTATTACACTGTATTACAAGAGATCATGAGGACCTTCTTGATTTCCTCCTGTCACTAGGTAACATTCAAAATGACCTATTTTTACCAGCTGGGCTTAAAGAAGCAAAAAGCGGCTGAGTGAACTTTGAAACTGTTCTCTTGTTTCACTGAATATTACTGCCCACTTCTGCTGGCTGGCTGTTTCTTATTACATGGCATGATAAATGATGCTGGGCAGCTAATTTTTCTCTTTCCTACAGTTTAAGTGATACCTTATTTTAAGAATAAGCTCCATTGTAAGCTCCACTCACAACCCAAGCCACATGAAATGCTGTTACGAAACTGAACTTCAGAAGTTTAGGATGTCATTAAAGACCCTTAAACAAAAGGCAGAAAAAAATCCACTAATTATAAGTAATTTCAATATAAAAAATAATTTGGAACTTTTTGTTCCTCTGAAATTTCAAATCGTAGCTATCCAGAAGGGAATTGAACAAACAATAAAGGAACCCAATTACACTGTGTTTTTAAAAATAAATTTTCAAAAGTCATCTTTTGGGAATGGGGGGATGGAAATGATTTCCAGTGATTTCACACTGAGTTGGGTTCTGCATTTATTAGAAAATGAACTGAGTGAAAAGCAAGATGAATTAGGATTTATAAATTTGCTGAGAAATGGTAGAAGCAAGCAACAGGTTTTATAATACTGTCACTTTAGCATCATATTAGTTCCCAAAATTGGTTTAAAAATCAGATGTTAAAAATGTCTTTGTAATGCTTTTTGCTTATTTGCTGTTTTCCATATTTCCCTTCTTTCTATATAGTCCTGGAATTTGCGATTTAAAAGGCATGTGTGTCATTTTATTCCTCTCTTGCATCGTAGTGGTGCATAGCGAGCCAAGGGGTTGTACTGGGAGTCTTAAAGAACATGTGGGCAAATTGCTTGCAGCAACATGCTGTTCCTTGCAGAAAAGGGCATCTCTCCTCTGCTTGCTGCTGAGCCTGTGCTTCAGGACTGAGAGGAAACACAGCACCAACGGCTCTCTGGAGACCAGGATGCCTTTGACCAACATCTGCTGAGTTTGGATGGTGTGAGTGCTCAATAGGAAGGTTGTGCCCAAAGCAGCCATATGCTGCTGCCTCTGCGTCCTCTGCATCAGGCTGCAGTTACTGTGGCATCCACTGAGCCGCTGATAAGATAAAGTGAGCTGGTCATCTCTGCCGAATAAAAACGCAGTGTTTTATGAAACAGCGAGGAGATAACGGGGCATACTTAGTGAAGGCGTACTTGTACTCGATTCCAAATATCTTCATGAAAGCCTTGTCAGTTTAATGCTCCTCACAAGCTCAGAGGTGTGACGTGCACTGCATATATTGCAGCAGCTCAAACTGAATTAAGTGGTTTTTGGAATATAGGCACTGAAACGTGAAAGGTATTTTCAGGTACTCTACAAAATGAAATAATGCTTTTTTTAAAATGTTTCTAATAAATTAGATCCTATATGCTCTGTACAGTACCCTAAAGTACATTTATATAAACAAGGACTTCTTATATCGGTACAAAAGAGTAAACAGAATTGAAATCAGTGGGGCTGTTTGCACTTAGTTTATTCTCGAGCTTCTTTTAATATGTTTCAAATGCTTTCCCATCCATTGTGATTGTGGGAATCTCGTCATCATATTTAATAGCACAGTAATTTCCTGGCAAGTTAGCTGGTCTTATTTCCACAGTCTGTACTTTTCTGCTCTTTTATTGCAAATTTTTCTGAATGTACTCAATCTAGAGTTTGCCACCACAGCAAGCTTTTATGCTGTGTTTTATTCTAAGTGAAAATGCATGCTTTTGTGTTCTACTCTGAGGTTGGTGGCTGCTGTTCTACTGTGGTCTGACAATGTTCCTCCAAATCTAAAGGCTCAGATGAAGTCAACATCCTAAAGCTTCCTAGGCTGCTTGTTCTAATGGGTGGTGTGAAACAGAAACGTTTCGGTGAGCTCTGTGCTTTAGACAGTGACCAGATATGGGTTTCAGGTTGTGTTCAGTAAAAGCTGGTCAATGCAGCCTCAGCAGAAGTGGCTTCCCGAGATGTGTTTGGTTTTTCAGATAGGGTCTATTGGACAATATTGGTTTTTTCCTTGTGTGTAGACTTAGTGGTCACAAATTCAGTCCTGCTGAGTAGTTCCTGAGAAACAAGCCTGAAATAAGTTAAACTCAGCTCTAAGCAC